GGTGGCACCGGCAGGGACGGGGAGCACCGGCGACAGGGACAGGCAGCAGCCAGTCKGTGTCCCACCCTGTCCCCGAGGGCTACAGGGGATGGTGACCCCCGTCCCCATCTCCTCGTGTCCCCCAGGYTCCAGCATTTTGTCCCCATGTTTCTTGGGTTCCTTGTCCCCATGTCCCCTCACCCCTGGGTTCTGGATTCGTGCCTCTGTGTCTCCATGTCCCCTGGGTCCTGAAAGTCCCATGTCCCCACCCCCCAAACTCCAAAACCCCCATTCCCACATTCCTTGGGCTCCAGAATCCCCCTCCCAATGTCCCCAGACCCCCTGGGCTCCCACAGCCCCATCCCCGTGTCCCTGCGTCCCCCTCACCAGACTCGAGGGCACTGTCGGGGTCGCAGCCGTCATCGGGCTCCCCGTCGGAGCTGTCACCCCCGCCCAAGCCGCTCTCCTCCAGGTGGGACTGCACGATGCGCTGCACCGCTGGGGAGGCGCCGGTGTCACCGGTGTCACCGGSAGCACACCGGGGTGTCCCCCCAGCCCCCCCGTGCCGCCGTTGCCCCCGCGGTACCTTTGAGCGAGGGCGGGGTGTAGGCACACGGGTTGGTCCTCTTTGGTTTGAGCAGGCAGCCCTCGCCCGAAGAGCGCTGCGGGGGGAGCGGCGTCGGGATGGGGGGGCCTGGTGTCCCCCCGGGGGTCGCTGCGGCCCGGGGAGAGCCCCCCCGGAGAGGTGGGAGGCTGCAATTGGGGTCTGGCCATGGGGACCCAAGGGAGGACCCTGCTGTGGGGATGTGGCACTGGGGACCCCACCATGGGGACGTGGCATTGGGGACACCGTGATGGGGACCGCGCCATGGAGACCCTGCACTGGGGACCCTGAATGGGGACCCTGCACTGGGGACCCTGAATGGAAACATGATATGGGGGACACCGTGATGAGGACCCTGAATGGGGACACTGAGATGGGAACCTTGCACTGGGGATAGGATATTGGGGACACCGTGATGGGGACCATGCCATGGAGACCCTGCACTGGGGACCCTGAATGGGACACTGAGATGGGGACCTTACATTGGGGATGGGATATTGGGGACACCGTGATGGACACGCTGCCATGGAGACCTTGAGCTGGGGACCCCGAATGGGGACACTGAGATGGGGACCCTGTACCGGGGACCCCGAATGGGTACATGACATTGGGGACACCGTGATGGGGACCCTGAATGGGGACACTGAGATGGGAACCTTGCATTGGGGATGGGATATTGGGGACAYCGTGWTGGGSACSMTGCCATGGAGACCCTGAGCTGGGGACCCCGMATGGGGACACTGAGATGGGGACCTTACATTGGGGACATCGTGGTGGGGACCCCTCCTTGGAGACCCTGTCACGGGGATCCTATGTTGGGGATCCCCGTTATGGGGACTTTGCCATGGGGGACCCTGTGTTTGGGACTCCACGAAGGGAACCCGTCCATGGGGACCCCACCATGGGAATGTGGCATTGGGTACCCGGTGATGGGGACCCTGCTATGAGGACACAKCACTGGGGACACCACGACGGGGACCCCTCCGTGGGGATGTGGCACTGGGGACCCTGGGAGGGGTGACCCCGCCACGGTCACGCGCTGGTCTGCACCGCGGCCAAACCGCACAGCCTGGCTCGGCTCAATGTCCCCATCCCCGCGTCCCCGTCCCCGGCGCTGGCGCCGTGTGCCCGTGCCGGGAAGGAGCCGATAAGCTCCAGGCGCCGGGGCTGGGCCCCGATAACCCTCCCGGGGGACACGGGACGGGGGAGCGGGGCTGTGTCGGGGGTCCCGGCGCTCGCTCACCTGGTAGGGCAGGGACTCGTCCTCTGTGTCAGCGGCGCCGGGGAGAGAGGGGTGAGTGGGACACCGGCACCCAACGGAGCCGGGCAGGGCCCTGCCCACCCTCGGACCCCGCTCCAGGGGTTCCCCTGCCCGCTGGGGACCCCCGTCCCCTCCCTGCCACCCCCTTCCTTATGTGACACCCCGTCCCCTCCCTGCCACCGCGTCCCATCCCGGACATGCCATTCCACAGGTGACACTACATCCCACCCCCTCACCATGTCCCCTCCCTGCCGCCGCGTCCCATCCCGGACATCCCATATCATGCACGACCCCGCGTTCCATCCCTGCCACCACCTCCCGTCCCYGGACCCGACGTCCCCTCCGCTGTGTCCCACCCCTGCCCCGCTCACCTGGCGAGGAATGTTCGGAGAGCTGGAAGAGCATGGCCGGCGTGGGCCTCCGCCGGCGGATCTGGGGCACAGCGGGGTGTCACCGGCTGGGGACGCCCCGGGTCCCCTGTCCCCTGCCCTGCGCCCCAGGGACACGTGTCTGCACGTGTGTGAGCGTGTGTGCGCGTGTGGGTGCAGGGCCACCAGCCCACCCGGCGCGGGGTCCCCGCGGTGTCCCCGGTCCGTCCCAGCCACRCGAGAGCCCCAGCCCAGCTCCTCCGGCGGGGCTTTGGGTCCGGCGTGTGCTGGGGACATCCCCTTGGATCAGGGACAACCGGTGGGGGTGGCTGCACCGACCCCCAGAGTCTCCTGTCCCCTCCATCCCATCCTTGTCCTCATCCTGTCCCCTCTGTCTCATCCTTCCCCTTCTCTCCTGTGCCATCCCTGTCCCTGTCCCTGTCCCTGTCCCTTCCCTGTCCCCCCGACACAACTCTCCCTGCTCGGGACCGCAGCTCCCACGGGGACCTTGGAGCTCTCTCGTCCTGTCCCCATCTGTCCCCCATTCCGTCCCTCTCAGTGTCCCCCACGCAGTCCCGTCCGGTCTGTCCCTCCCGTGCCAATGCCCTGCCTACTCCGGTCCCCCTTGTCCTGCTCTGCCCGTCCCATCCTGTCCCCCCTGTCCCCTCCGATCTCGCCCCGGATCCATCCCCTCCCTCCCTCTGTCCCCTCCCACCTCCCCCTTGTCCCATCCCATCTGTCCCAACTCATCCCCCCCGGTCCCGCTGTCCCTCCCATCCCCTGCCTTGTCCCCTCCGTCCCCTCCGAGCCCCCTTGTCCCGCTCTGCCGGTCCCATCCCGATCCTGCTGTCCCCTGCGATCCCCTTTGTCCCATCCCATGCCTTGTCCCCCTCGCTGTCCCCTCCGATCCCCCGCTGTCCTGCTCTCCCGGTCCTGTCCTGTCCCGTCCCTCCTGTCCCCTCCGATCCCCCTCCTGTCCCACACTGTCCCCATCCCGTCCCCACTGTCCCCTTCCCTCCCCGCCTCCCTCCAGCAGCACCCTGCGGCTCTCCCGTGTCCCCTTCCCGTCCCACACGGTCATTCCGGTGTCCCTCCTCGCCCCGAGGCCACCGGCAGCSCTTTGCCCGGGGGGCGACGAGGGACCCCCGGGGTGTCCCCGCTGCCCGCTCGCCACCCTCACCATCTCGACGGCGCGGGGGTCCAGGTTGCTCGGRGGGGCCGGCACGGAGAACTGGATCTTCTTGCGCTCCTTGGGGTCCATGGCCTTGGCCGGGAGTCACCGCAGCCGGGGGGTCTTTGCCACCGGTACCGAGCGGAGCTCGGTGGCACCCGGGGCTCGGTACGGCGAGGAATGAGAGTGGCGGGAGGTGGGGAAGGCAGAGCCGGTGAGGAGGAGGAGGAGGAGGAGGAAGGAGAGGGAGGGAGGACACGTCTTCCTACCAGGCGCTGAATTATTCATCCCCCCCTCCCCGGGCAGGGGGGCTGAGGCCGCGGTAATGAGCCCTTGGGGAGCCCCCCAGGGGGTTCAGCCAACCTGTGGGGGGTCCTTAACCCCTTCCCTGCCGTGGGGGACGCCGGCAACCGCGGCCGGTTGGGATGGGACAGAGACGGGTGGCTCCATRTGTGTCCCTGTCCCTCGTTCCTGAGCCTCCCCAGAGGTTGGGGGGCAGGGGACAGGGGGACAGCCGCCCCCACCCCTGTGTGGGCAGCGGCAAAATTTCCCTACCCCCCCGGCTACTCTGTGCCACACGGGATAGGGACACCACTCCGGGGATATGTACAGGGGACATCTGTGGGGACATGGGACTCCCGAAACATCCCATCGCCCGTGTGCCGGGGGTCGCCCCCTCAGCCCCAGCTGCAGCCCCCGGGATGCCGGGGGTGGGGGGCTGTGTCTTCACCCGGGGCTGTGCCCACCTGTGCCGGCTCTTCCCCAGCTTTTGGTGATTTTCCCCATAGAAAACCCCACGGAGCGCACATTTATCCCCCTGGGGAAGCGGGGGCTCATCCCCCAGGACAACGCTCGGCACCAGGGCTGCGCGTTCCAGGCAGGGACCGGGGGACATCGAGAGAACATCGAGGGGACATCGAGGGGACATCGAGAGCACCTCTCCCGACCCTACACAACCAGGAGGTCCCCACGCAGGGGGGACAGCGGAGTGGCCATCAGCCCGGAGGGGTGGCTYGTCCCCTCCTGGGATGTCCCGGGGCGGTGTCGATGGCAGCCGCCTCTGARCAGGAACGAGGAAGGGGGAGCTGGGAACTGGCTCCGTCCCCCGGATCTCCCGGTGCTCCAACGGCTGCGGGTGGCCGCGGGCCAGCAGCCACCGCTCCAGCAAAATATTTACCCGAGTGGCACCGAGCCATGGACCAGCCTCCCGCCCGCCCGGCACCACGCGGCAAAGCTCGGCAAAACACGGCACAGCCCGGCTCTGGGTGACAAATCTCGGCTCCGGGTGACAAATCTCGGCTCTGGGTGGCAAATCTCAGCTCTAAGTGGCAAAGCCCGGCTCTAGGTAACAAAGTCCAGCTCCGAGTGACGAATCTCGACTCTGCGTGACAAATCTTGGCTRTGTGTGATAAAGCCAGGCTCCGGGTGACAAAACCTGGCTCTGGGTGGTAAACTTGTCCTTGTGGCACAGCGCAGTGGCCACGCGGGAGGGGACAGGCCAGGAACAGGCACCAGCAGAGCCCAGTGTCCTCACAGAGGCCAAAATCTGGGGACAAGGCGAGGGGTCCCTCGTTCACCCTGTAACCGGGCTGGCCCTGTGCCGAGTGTCCCCATGCCAGGCTCTGAGCACCGTCCCCATCCCGGGACCGGGAGTCGTTATGGCAACAGGTTCCCGGGCTCCATCCCGCTGCTGTTCCCGCTTCTCCCACCCACGAAGACGCCGTGTGAGGGGGTGGCCGGGCCCCCTCCCCTCCCCTCGCTGCGCTGCGGCAGCGCCAGCACCCGCAGCCCCCCGGGATCGGCACGCCCCGCCCGCGCCCGCGCCCACGCACCGTCACCCGCGGGTGGCACCTGCAGAGTGGCACGGGAAGGGGGGGGGGTCCGGGACACGGGGGTGCACCTTCCAGGCACACGTGTGGCACACATGGCCCCGCTCGTCGCCGGGACAGCGCCGTGGGCACCCCCCGTGCCGTGCCCGTCCCCGTGCCGTGCCCGTCCCCGTGCCCGTGCCGTGGTGCCGCGGGGGCTGCAGCTCCGCGCAGCAGCGAATCCTCCCGCAGAGAGAGAGTAAAAATAGCAGCAGGTTGAGGGAAGAAGCGCTCGCCCCCCGCCAGCGGGCACCGGCGACGAGCCGGAGCCTGCGCCCACCGCGGAGCCGTGCGGACGGACGTGGCGCGGTGTCACGGGGGGCAGAGGGTGCGGGGATGGACCGGCGTGGGGACAAGATGGGGACAGAGCTGGGGACGGAGCGTCGTGGTCATGGGGCACGCCAGGGGTGGAGCATGGCGGGGACAGGGTGCCACGGGGACAGGGTGGCTTGGGGATGGTCACCATGGGGACAGGGTGGCTTGGGATGGACCACTGCGGGGACAGGGTGTGCTGGGGGTGGATTACCTCGGGGACAGGGTGTGCTGGGGATGGACCACCATGGGGACAGGGTGGCTTGGGGATGGACCACCACGGGGACAGGGTGGCTTGGGGGTGGACTTCCACGGGGACAGGGTGGCTTTGAATGGACCACTGCGGGGACAGGGTGTGCTGGGGATGGCCACCACGGGGACAGGGTGTGCTGGGGATGGACCATCGCGGGGACAGGGTGGCTTGGGGGTGAAATACCACGGGGACAGGATGGCTTGGGAATGGCCACCACGGGGACAGGGTGGCTTGGGGATGGACCATCGCGGGGACAGTGTGTACTGGGAGTGGATCGCCATGGGGACAGGGTGTGCTGGGGGTGGATCGCCATGGGGACAGGATGTGCTGGGAGCAGAGCATCGTGGGGACACCTGGGGACGAAGTGTCCCAGGGATAGACCGTGGTGGGGACAGGGTGCGCTGGGGACAGAGTGTTGTGAGAATTGGGGACATCAGGGACGAAGGATTGYGGGGACAGGGTGCCACGGGGACAGGACATTACTGGGACAGGACATCGTAGAGACAGGGCCCTGCGGGGACAGAGCAGCGTGGGGACAAACGCACCGGGACGCTCGCCCGGTCCAAGGGTGAGTGCCGGGGGGGCGGGGTCTGTGCRGTGAGGGGGCGTGGCCACAGAATGGGCGGGGGTCGGGTGGGGGATGCCGGGACCCCCCCTCGATGCCACTCACCCCGCTATCCCCCTCCGTGTCCCCCGCCCGGTCCTGCGGGGGTGTCCCTTCCCGTGTGTCCCCCTGTCCCCACGCTTCATTCCCGTGCGTCCCCCTGGGCCGAGCCCCCCGGGACCCCCCGCACCCCGAGACCCCCCGTGGGTGCCGCGGCCCCCCAGGAGCTGCAGCGGGGGCGGCGGGAGGGGGCCGGAGCTCCCCCGGGCGCAGAGGAGATGCCGGCAGTGGGAACACGCGTGGGAGCGGAGCACGCGTGGGAGCCCGAGGGGGCGGTGGGGGGCGGGGGCGCAGGGGGCTTAACCCCTTCGCTGCTGGGAACCCCCCCAGCCTCAACCCTAGAGGGCTGMAGAGGGGATGGGGACATGGGAGGGACCCCCACCCCTCCCAAAATGGTGCTTCATGGKGGGCTGGGGAAGGGGCGCCCCCCTGCCCCACTCGGGGACACCGAGCAGCGCTGGGGGGTGCGATGGGGACACTGAGGCACTGAGCAGCGCCGGGAGGAYTGGGGGGCTGCACCCCTATAACCCAGCACGAGCGGGGGGCTGCAACCCCCAGCAGGATGAGGGGGGGGGGTCTCTAACCCCCTATCCCTGGAAAATGGGGGGGGTCCCAACGCCGGCACGAGGAGGGGCTGTGTCCTGGCGTTCCGGGCAGGATGAGGGGGCTGTGACCGCACACCGGACAGGGGTGGCCGTGTCCCCAACACGACGAGAATGAAGGGTCCCTCCCCTGTACCCTCAATGGGGTGGGGAGGGGGCTGCATCCTCCCGGCCCCCCCGGGCTGTGCTTGGTCCTGGTGGCCCCCGCGGCCCCTCACCAGCCCCGTGTGCCCGTCGGCGCCGCGACACGCGGTGGCAGATGTCACTCCCGACGCTGGCACGGCCGGGCTGGCACCGCCACCCGGGGCTGGCACGGCCGCCAGGGCCGGGCAGCGGCTCAAGGGCTTTGGCACGGGGTGGCCGGAGCGGAGCCGCGGCTGGAGCTGCCCTGGTTGGCAGCCACGGGCTACCGGCCAGTGACCACCGGGCCAGGCCAAGCCTCGCACCCTCATCACGGGTGGGATCGGGGGCTGGGGGCTCTGCGGGGTCCTGGGGAGCCCACTCAGGCAGGGGCTGTGCTGGTTTGGGGGATTCGTGCACGCAGAGCCCGGTGCCAGGGTGTGCCTGGCCCAGCAGAGCTGAACGGGGAAAGCCTTGGAGCGGGAATTTTGGGAGGGAATATGGGGACGATAAAGGGGGGAATGTGCGGGGAGGCAAATCCGGAGGGTTCCAGGAGGGAAGGGGTGCAGTGGGACAGGCAGCCCGGGGCTCTCCTCTGCTTGGGGGCCATCATGTGCCTCAGTTTACCCACCTGTAGCACGTGCCCTCCACA